AAAAAAAAAAGGAAGAAAAAAAAGAGTACAAAACAACATTTGCTCCAGTTCATGCATGGATAATTACCGCTTCAGTGGTTTAAACCCAACACCTGCAACAGCTGCATTGCAACACAATGCATCTGGAACAAAATGATGCATCAGTAATGACTTCACTTTTAGAAGCAAATGCATTTCTATGAAAGGGCAACAAATGAAACAGCTGAAAAGTTATTCGTGGCCTCGGCGTACTGTACCTGTGCTCCTGTGCGGTGTATTTAAGAAGCTCGGCCAACTGGAGTGGATATTTGCAGATTTTCTGGACGGGCGTGAGCAAGAAGCCATCTATGGCGATGTCAATCATTTGCTGGAGGAGGCGACAGGCTTCGAAGAAGTGCTGGTACCTGCCATCCCTCATCAGTTTGCTCAGCTCCATACAGGCATCCAAGTGGTTGTTACAGTATTCTGAATAAATCCAGAAACCGTCTTGCTGTAGTGCAAAGGAGTAGAGATGGACATCGTCAGGATAATTAAAAAGAAAAATCATATAAATAGGGGAGTGATTATGGTTTCTCAAACATTAATTTCTTCTTATCTTAGGATGCTGTTAGCTGGTTAATTAGCTCCACAATTTAAATATTATCTCAAGATAACGAGACGAGATAAAAGAAAAATCTATTCTCTTCTTCTTCTTCTTTCATTTTTGGTCGAAGTTTGTCTAAAATATACTCACGTGTTCTAAAAAGCACGGCCCGATTTCAGAGAGGTGCGGCTCCTCTGTGTTGTACTGTTTCTCCAAATCTCTGACAAAACCCATCTGAAAGCGGTAGATGTCCTCGATGTTTCCAAAGATGACCTTCAACTGGTCGTCGTTAAACATGTCCACGCGCTTCCTGCACTGGCGCAAGTAGCCCTGCAAACAACACCGGTTACAGCTACAGTGAGGCTTTGACAGAAGATCCTGTTCAGATGAGCACAAACATTTTTCAAAATGAGTATCAGGTCTCGAACTGTGCCATGGCTGCTTGTAGTTAATTAAATGCCCTGAAGCTTTGGCACTTTGGGAACAGATCTGATATAAGATAGCCAGACTTCTCCCTGCTGTCATTGTGAAATATGCATGCTAATCCTTTTTGTTTTGTTTCTTAAAGTCAGGCTCAGTTCAAATATGCATAATCACAACAGGGACTTCACATTATTGTATCTGAGAAATGTGACATTTCAACGATCAAGTCATTTACTGGTGACGAATTAAAACATCTGAGAAACATAAAAAACATTACAGGCATCTAATAAATAATTTTTTAAATAACAAAAAAGAAATCTTAGCATCATTTTGAATTCAGCAGTGCAAAATTTCTTCTTCTTTGTAACTTTTCTAAAACACCGAAGCAACTTACTTTAATGAACTGACCGGCTTTTTAAATCCAGAATATTCTACATCTGTATTTTTGATTGCTTGGTCTGGTTTTTAGCTCTTCAACTTCAGTTTTTATTATTTAAAAGTGAGCTTGTTCAAATCTGTTCCTCAGCTCAGAAAATCCTTTGCCCGTGCATGTCCTTGAATATTTGGAAGATCAAAGTTGCTTACATTAGCAAGACGTGCAGAGGTAAAATCCACGCTTTATTGCAACTATTCTTAAACAAGATGCTTACCTAGATATGATCTGGAATACAAACATGTATAGAGCAGTTTAGGGAAAGATGATTGGAAAATATGTGATGGAAATCGTCTAAGTTCAAAACTGTTTATTCTAGCATAGAGCACTGCTGTGTGCTGTGCATTACGGCCAAACATCTCCACTTTGGTCTTGTCTGTTCAAAGGACATTGTTGCAGAGGTCTTGTTGTTTTTTCAGATGCTTATCAAAACATAAGCATGTTCTTTTTAAAGAGAAGAGGCTTTCTCCTGGCAAAGGTTGCAAACAAGCCATACCTGTTCAGTCTTTCTTTGATTGCACTGTCATGAACTTTAAACATGCTAACTGAGGGCTGCAGAGTCTGAGATGTAGCGTTGGGGTTTTTACGAGCATCACGCAGTCTGATGATGGAGTGAATATGCTGGGACGTGTACTCCTGGGAAGATTGTGGGATTGTGTGAGCACACACCTGAACAGCAAAGTGCCAAAACGTCTTCTTTTAGGTGCTCACACTTGCTGATGGTTAATCAGTCAAGTGCCTTTTATCATTAGTGTGGTGGCCAGTAAATAACAGTGATTGTCACTTAGATTAGTGAGTTAGATACCACTGTTTAAAGACCAGACACATGCCAGGGAAAAGCAGGCTGTATGTAGTGTATGTTGTAAAGACATTTAAATCAAAGGATGCAGCATATAGAGGCAAAATTGTACTAGCTCCAAATATTTTAGAAATTAAGTTATTAATATATTCAAATGTTACAATGTGTGCACTTTATAGAGGATACATGCCTGTTTATTATTTATTAGACTGAGATTCCTGGCTTGGGAGCATTTTTAAAGAGCTGCAATTCTAATAATATAAAAATGGCCAGGGTTTTGTTTATTTTTATTAGGTGTGAATTTTAGCTTGTCACTTCAGGATGATTCATAATATAATGACAAATTTAGTCTGGACTGCTGGGACCACTGTGTACAGCTGACATATTGCGGTTTTGCATTTAGCTAAAGAAGCATTATTTTTGGCCTGTTTAGCAAACGAGAAAGAAAAAAAATGCCTGGAATAAAAGTGTGAATGTGGGAGTGTTACGAATTTATGCAAGATACTAGATGCGTAGCATCAAAAAGACTGCTGCTTTTTAATTAATTCAGCTTCATACCATATAGTTTATAACCTGCCCTGCTCTTACTTGACATATTAAAGCAAAGCCGGGAACAGCAGTGTATATAGATGTGTGATTTATGAATGTGTGCCGATGTTTAGTACCTCACAGATGTCCTTGAGGTGTTTGATATAATGTCTCTCTGTGCTCATAATCTCATTTATAACGTTAGCCCTCATCTGGTCTCGGTTTTGGAGGGGTGAGCCCAGACATAAGCAGTCATTGGTTGGATCCAGGTGCCCGTTCTGTACCTCGCTGGTTCCTTCAGCTGGCTCTGCTCCACCGTCTTCCTGGTTCACCCACAGCTGAGGACAAATACATTCATGCACACACAAGAGCCACATGCATTCGAATGAGTAAAGAGCTTTCTTAAAGGTTGGGTGGGTGGGGAAAAAAGGATTAGACAACATATTTATATATAATGATTATTGTTAGTATTAACAAGTAATATTAGCTCTCCTAATGTGTTACCAGTCACACATGAAAGCATACACACCCAAACATCCCACACATAAACACAGCGCTTCATTAAGAGGTCCTCTGGTAGTTTAGACAGTGAGTCGCTCTCCAGCATGTCAAAAAACACACTGCCAAACACTCCAGAGTATAAAAAAGCCTCTCTCAGAGACCGAGCACATATTCTGAGGGCATTTAATGTGTGACTCAAAATCTGCCCCCTACACATATGCATGCATATACGCTCAAATACCACCTCGTGATTTCACCGACACTCACGCACACACATAGAAATCCACACACATCGTGTATTCCACTCTCGCTCATAGAAAGGGCCAAGTGAGCGTGTTTTCAGATGCCCAGCAGCCAACACCTGATGACACACAGTTTGCCAAGAGAACATCAAAGAACCGACGGGTAGAATGTCAAACACAAGATGAGGAATGTAGCGCCACAGACAAGCAGAGTGACGGGTGGTAGAGCACTGACTGCAGACGAGAACTAGTAGCACAGCATTAAGACTGAGAAATAGTCAGAGTCAATAGTAAATAGAGTACTGAAGAGAATGATCCATAATTGAATTACAAAAAAAAAACATGAGTAATTTTTCCCAAATCCATCTAATTCTACGTGAATACATCTGTACAATTTTTTTTAGAATGGCCCTTTAAGGAGACATTTCACATTAGCTTTACTTTTGACTCATCAGTTCTGCCTCTCTATCGAGCCCGTTGAGGAATGATGTGATAACGTTAATGTTTGGTAATGTCGAGGGCACGTTGCGTGGACAGACTGGAGCGGGCGGGTGGGCGGGCAGGCTGGATGGGTAGATGAAGCTGGGAAAAAAAACGCACCTTTGACGTGGTGTTTTGGAACCGTGGAGTTGCTATGGGGTTGATATAGAAAACCTGTTTTGTTTGGGGCTGAGGAGGGTGGGGTTCCACCTTGGAAAGAGAGAATGACAGAACAGAAAGATACTTTTTGGTTGACAGTCAGTCAGCCTGTCTGCCCTGCCCTCTCAGGAGTGAATATGGAAGGGTGGACAGGTGGGAATGACCATGGAAAGTGTCTGGGTGGGTGCTCTGCTGTGGGATCCCTTCAACTGCAGCAAAGATGCTAATTCTTCCTTCCTTCATAAAGACACTAAACCATATCAGGAATGTTCAACGATATATTCTACTTTGCATCATAAATTGTGTCTAATTAAAATATTCTTTATTATTATATGCCTTGGACTAAGACTTTAGGCGAGAAGCCTTCCGCTTTCATCCAAAGAAATTTCAAAAACATATCGCAGAGTTAAACTATGAATATACATCTTCCTGTACAGTCACGCTTCACCATTCCAAGAGAAGTGCAATTACAGAAAGCAGAAGTAAAAGTAGTAGGGAAAGGCATTCAGCGGCAGTGTGCAGTTTCTGGATTCAGCTGAACTAAGACATGGGTGCTATTACATAATCATGATGTAATGCGAGGATGTTGTAAATTTAATTGGATTTCAAGGATAGAAGTTGAAGGTGATGCTACGCTAAAAAAAAAAAGAAAAGGGGGCTCATCAGCATCTTTGTTTTCTTGTCCCTGAACATCCGATAAAGGCACCTCGCTAGCTGTTTTCTCCTCTCTTCAGTGTTATGTATTATTAAAATAAAGCAGCACTTAACAGTGGAACTGTGGAAGAAGCATATTAATGTGTGTGCTTTGTGAAAGTGTGTTTGTGTAAGGCGGAATAATTGTGCATGTGTACCTTCCAGTATGTTTATTTATCAGCTCGGGTGCATATGTTCATGTGCCTCCATTTGTGTACGTGTGTGGGTGTCTGTTGTGTCTGTGGTCGCTGGCCAGCCATGGCTGCAGCTAACTCACCCGTACAAAGCTGGCAGGGAACCATCCTTCCTCCTCATCAATCTGGCCCCACCACCAGTCCTTGTTGGAGGCGTCCAGCACCTTGATGACGTCACCGGCCTTAAACGCCAACTCCCGGTCCGCCATGGTCACATGGTCCCATACCGCCTCAGCGTTGACGATTGAACCTCCACTTATCAACTGTAGGAATTGGAAGGAGAGACAAGAAATACCTTATGTATTATTCTGATCACGTGAAGCTGTGAAGCAGGAGTAAACACTAAACATTGATCAACAGAACACAATCCAACGTGATCCAAAACGGTAAATGAATCAAATCTGAAACTGAATGCAGTACAGTAATATGCCAGATTTTGGCTCCAGTATGTGTGAGTCCTTGTTGTTAAACCCACTCAGATTTCTAATGGAGTTAAACATAGGCCCTCAAAGCCAGGGCCCGCTAGCAGCTCGGGGACTGCACAGCAAATAGAACGGCACAATAGCCAACACAGATCATAGTACAACACAACAATAAAACAACGATACAAAAAAGGCAGAGCCGTTAGTGGGGAAACATTCTGTGTTCAGTGGCACAGCACCAGTCTCCACACAGGGACGGTAATTGGCCCATTATGACATTAGAATAATTACATGTGTTAATGTAATATAAATGCTAAGGAGCAAACAAATGTGAAGGGATAATCTCCTTTCCTTCATGCTGTCACTGGGGCTTGTTATTTTATCTGCAGCAGTCTTCTACCAAACATGAAAGGATGACTCATCAAATCTTTTCTATTGACTTTAAAATCATGAATAAATAATGTGGACATTATGCGACACTAAAAATAAAGATTGAATTTGTGCAACGTACATGAGCAAAGTTATTTGATGTGCATCAATTAGAGATTGTAAGGTGATCAGTATTCTTTAGGGGGAACCGGAGAAGCTAAAGGTTGTTCTCATTAAAAGACATGTTCTTTAGTGCCTGAAATCATCAATCTAAAGCGTCACCATCTGTCACACTGATCACTTAGCTCTGTTACCTTGTGAAGCACAACCCCATGCATGCGTGCTGCCCCACGTTTTTACTCTGTATGCATGAAACCTGTGTATGCATCCGTGGAACAAATCCAACTGTTTGTCCCAATTGTTCTCTCCACAGTAGTGTTCATCAGCATTCTCCAGTCCGGAGCTTAACCACGCATCCAGTCCCTGGGGCTGTGGGCAGAGCAGCCAGCGCTAACCAACCCTGACAAGGGATGCTGTGGCTCTAGGTAAGGACTTATCAAAGGCCTGCAGAAATAGCTGTCACAGGGATGGCTACAAAATTAGTTCCTTACTTCTCTTAAGGCCTTTGCATAATCCTATTGAGCTACTTTCATTTTATACGTTTAGCTAATTGTTTTTTTTCTCTTTAATTATCTAAGATTATTTTGTCTATTGTAAAAGACAAAAATGACCCTCCTACCTCTACCTCAGTCTAGCACAAAATTGCTTTTCTACCTTCCTGCCGATGCAGTGAGTTTGCAGTGTGTCTATAAGAAACAACACAGTGTGTGCATGTGTCAAACTCAGAAGCTACATGGGCCCTCCAACCTGTAGACAAGACCACCACCCTGATGGATTACTGAGACAGCTACAGGGGCTATAAGCCAATCAGGGCAGAGAAGTGAATACAGGGAGGGACGGACTTCCATGCCTGGAAGTGAAAGAACAGCCGTCGTCATGGTGACAGATGAGGATGCTTCACTGATATTGACAAGATGATGGGATGAGGCAAGGACATTTCAGGGTGCACCACAATATTTCCACATTTAGGCGCGTGTGCGTGTGTGAGAGAGTAGTCACACACAAAGAGTGACCACCGAATAACTGCAGTGTCACTCAGCTATTAAATATTAAAATCAATCACAAACTGCAATTTCAAATTAAATCTAAAAATGCAAAGGAAAACAGCACGGGCCTCTGCAGACAGTTCGGAGATCAAAGATGTTTAGCCAGGCATCACTTTGGACAGGTAGCTGGGGTAACAATAGCTGTAGCCTATATCTCAAAGCGCTCCACTTCAGGAAGAGAGGAGGGTTACCGCAAAAACATGTGTCACGCTGCCATGGAAACAGGATCAATAAGTAGTGCTCAAAAACATTAAAAAATCATTGCTGGTTCAGAAAAGGGAATTTAAATGATCTATTAGGGAAAAAACACCTGAAGGAATAACTAGTGGAAGCCAAATCAGCTCCACTTGACTTACACCATAAAAAGAAGCCCATAGAAGAGATGAGCCTTGGCACTGAGGTCAGCCTTGCTTCTTGCCCTCCCACCCCCTCGTCGTCCCTCCAGCACCACTCCATTTTCAGCCCCATTCACTACAAGTGCAATCTCTCTTGTCCCCATCAATCTGCTGTAATACGGGCAACAGACAGAAAGAGCAAAGGAAAGAGGGATGGAGATCCATTCACAGTGTTCCTCCCTCCTCAGTTCTTTCCGTTTATCCCTCCATCTCTCTAATGAGATCAGTACTGCCCTCTCCAATATATTGCATCCTTTTTTCCCTCTACATGTCTGAATAAATTAAAAGCATTACATAATCAATCTTCCCCCGTTCCCGCCTAAGCACGGCCCCATACCTAGCTGAATAATACAGTAAACACACAGAGCCAAGCACAGAGAGGGCTTGCTCATCATACTCATCATTACATGTGTGTCTATCAGCTGTCATGACCTATGTCATCATTATGGGCACACTGCAGTTCCTACATGAAAGATCAGAGGGCTAAGCAGATATCTCTGAACCGCAAAACCCGTATTTGGGTCAATGCAAATGAATGCAGAGGAATCTTTCCCTTTATATAGGCGTTTGTGACAGTGCTTCCTGTTACATGTCAGAGCACAGACATGGAGCCTGACACGGAAATGTGTACGAATAGAAAGCAGATTCACTTGCTTATATCATCTTTGCAGCGCAACACATCAGCATTCACTGCACTGGCAAAGCCACTGCATTCCAACATCCTCCTCTGTATCCAACCTTAGCACAGCTGCACCAAAGTACCAATAGCATCCCTGAACAAGCACGCATACACACACACACATACGCCTTTAGCCAACCTTACCATGTTTGTGGCATGTAACTGTTCGGAGAGTGTATGCATGGAGAAGTCCGGTTCATACGATCATGATAATCGAACTCCTGTTTTGGAATAGGTGACGGTCCTCCGCGAGAGCCTGAGCCGTAAAGTAACAAGGTAGTGTATTCCAATGCACCGAGTGAGTCTCGCGGTCCGTCCTCCCTGTGTCTGCCAACCCTGTTATGTAATACACTTATACCCCGAGTCTGGGAGCCAATCAAAGATGCTCTGCTTAAAACCGGTGAGAAATGCACACACATCCTCACACACGCCGCTGTCCCACTCGCGCACACCATCTGCACATTGACACTTCTGACTGCACAGCATTTAACAGAACTCTATTAGAAGGCACCTGCCCTGGTGGAATTACAAACGTGTGAACGCTCGGGATGTGCGCAGGACGCAGACTGAAAAGGCACAGCACATAACACCCACTCGAGACTACCTCTCACCCACATCACTTAACATGCTCGCATACTTACATGTGAGCAACACATCTGTAATTAGCACTCCGTTTGTTGGCCATGTGACCCATAACCACTGCGGTGCACGTTACGATCTTGTGACGTTGTGACGATTTGCATGCTTACAGTCCTGCGAGGGTCTCCGAAAGGGGGATGCTGTTTATGCGTTTGTACCAGCCACAGAGATGAAAACACCAGCCCTCATGCAACAGCATGTGATGGAGGTATCTGTGTTCATAATACACATCTCACAGCACCTGCAGTCCAACATTTATCACTTAACTGCACACGCACAGAAAACACACAGCACTTAGCAGTGAGTGTGAGGAAGCACATACAGTATCTTCAGAAAACCTGGTGAGTCTAACATCCCTATTAATAGGACTGTCATGGACAGCTCTGGGATAGGGCTTTCAGAATATCTATTTCAGACGTTCATTCAACATTCATGACACCTGCCTCCAATCCTTTATTAGACTATGGCGGTGCACTTGGAAGGGAATGGAAGGAAAAATACTTTTTTTTTTGTCATCTCCAGCTGACAAGCCTTTTCACTTGGACTGCATTGCATCTGAAAGAAATATATAATGATGCATTTTTTATTAGTCACCATTTAGTGCCTGGGTGACATAACGTGTGGGCTTCAGAAACAGGTGCTACAAGTGCAAGAGAGAAAACAGGGCAGAATATGGGGGGGGGGGGGGCTGTGAAATGGGAGCTCAGTTTAGCTGAATCTAAAATGGGGGAAACCTGGAGTGATGAGGCCCTGCTTTATTAGGCCTACCCTGCCATGCTGTTGGTTACTGTTCAGCTGAGACTACAATGATGCTCTAGAGTGTGTGATCAGCAGCACAAACCTCTCACTTGCACCGTTATTTGCTACAAATATCACACTGACTTGTGGGGAGATATCACAGCACAGCTATTAGCTGCCATATTGTGGATGAGGCTACAGTGGATCACAAAAGGGAGGAAAAAAAACAAGTCCTTATGCAGCAGTAGGACGTTGTTAGAATAATTTTTAAAAACACCGTCACATTCATTTCCCATCTAAAAGTCATATTATTATAGAATAAAATTCATCAATGCGCATAATCCACAATATTCAACATGGAGGAGAGGGGAAGATCGACGTGGGGTTGGGGAAGGTGGGTTGGAGAGGAGATGTTTATACTATTATGCGGGGGAAATGAATTTCCAGTCACCACAGAAAAAGGTAAGCGCATCACAGATCTGTATCCGCACAACTACGACCACCACCAGACAACACTAGCTATCACAAACGGGGGGGAGGAGGACACAAAACATAACGAAGGATTGGAAGGAGGGAGAGGGTGGGGGGTGGTGGTAGGGTGGTGGGAAGAAACAGAAATACATTATGTTGTACCAACGTCATTCATTTCAACGCGTAGCCGTGATGGAGCGCCGGGTGTCCCCGCTCTCGACCAACGCGCACTGCTGTTCTCTCCTCTCCTGTGTGAAAGTGCGCTGCGCTGCGAACCGGGCCCCAAGCGCAGATCCATTTAACGAGTACCGAGGATGAACATCAACAGCACGTTCACAAGCACCAGAACCGCGATCACCGTAAACACCGCGCAAGTCTGGACGT